GGAGGAGACAGAGGAGGAGACAGAGGAGGAGGAGACAGAGGAGGAGGCCATGATGGAGTCTGACTAATGTCTAATATTTACTGTCACATTCTGATCATTATTTGTTACAACATGAAAATCAAACCAGACCTGTTAAAACTAACGTGTTAACAATGATAATTCATGGAACAAACGTTGTTATTTATACACACTGTGGGGAGACATTTTCATTTCACTGAGGTTTGAAATCCAGTTTCCCTTCTTTAAGGACAGTTACGGCCCTGAATCAAATGGAACACAATTACACTTTATTAATTATACACAGTACAGCGTAGTACACACCGTGTAGTACAGCGTATACTACGACCTATGAATATTTTAACAGGCCGAGCTCTTATGGTGTTTGAACCAGTACTGCAGCTGGTACTCAGCCTCCATGGTCTCAACTGTTGGTTCCACTCCCCCCCTCTGACCTTTGACACTGGCCACGGAAGTGTTCACAGTCGACGTTTGTACAACGTGTGTCATGCTACATTGTAGCATGCTAATGTAGCATGCTACAATGCTACATTCTCTTTCTTTATTTGTGTTGTTTTTTTTGGGAACTTTTCCGCCCTTCATCATGGCTCCCAGGCGTACGTCAGTAACGATGTATAACTCAGCTCACAATACGATATGAATCGCGATTTCAACTCGATATGAATTACAGTTTTTTTTTTGTTCAAGATACGATTTTTTGTTTTATAAAACAATGAGCTTCAAAGTTCTCTGACTAAAATCCCATCATCAACTGAACTGATGATCGGCCACAACCAACGCTTTTAGGCACATAGCGCCACCTACTGTTCTAGAGTGTGTAGTGTCATGGTTTGACCAGTGACTTTTAAAGATAACAGCCTACTGCTAATGCCTCGATCGGTAATTCATTTTTTATTTCAACCAATGAGAATTGTCACTCATTTATGTTGATTTATAACTGACTCTCGATGCGTCGTTACATCCTGTTACTACTGTGTTGTTACATCCCGTTACCACTGAGTTAGCGGTTAGCTCGTGTACAGCATGAGTTCAGACGCTGTAGGAACGGAATTCCATCGTACTGTAAGTCCAGGATCTTTGAGGATTTTTCATTCCATCAGACGAACGTGTGACAAACGTCGCTCGCTGACGATGATTGAAATACCGAGGGACCTTGAACTCAGCGTCACGCCTGAATGGATGGTGTTCAGATCAGAGCCTCAGTGAAGCAGCTGCTGCAGATCCTGGTCCTGGAGCCGACACTAATGAAGTGTTTGACTCCCCCTGGTAATGTGGTTCAGATCAGGCTCAGGTCATCGAGGTGACCCACCAATCCAACCCACCAATCCAACCCACCAACCCAACCCACCAATCCAACCCACCAATCCAGCCCACCAATCCAGCCCACCAAACCAGCCCACCAATCCAGCCCACCCAACCATTCCATGGTCTCAACTGTTGGTTCCACTCCCCCCCTCTGACCTTTGACACTGGCCACGGAAGTGTTCACAGTCGCCGTTTGTACGACGTGTGTCATGCTAATTTGTAGCATGCTACAATGCTACATTCACTTTCTTTATTTGTGTTGGTTTTTTTTTGGGAACTTTCCGCCCTTCATCATGGCTCCCAGGCGTACGTCAGTAACGATGTATAACTCAACTCACAATAAGATATGAATCGCGATTTCAACTCGATATGAGTTACAGTTTTTTTTGTTCACGATACGATTTTGAATGAAAGATTTAAAAGCCAAAGTAGAGCAGTGTAATGTACCATGATCACTGGTCCTCAACTGGTCCTCAACTGGTCCTCAACCATCAGCCTTTGTTTGGTCCAGGAGGACGTACACACAGAACTTTGACGCTACAACATTAAGATGGAGAGATTCTTCAAGGACGAATAGAAATGTTGGCCTGAAACAGTCAGACCAAAGTCTGGCCCGGGGGCCAATCGTGGTCCTAAAACACATCACGTGTGGCCCCGCAGTATAAATACACATGAATTTGATCTTCCTGGATTTTCTTTTTCTTCTTAAACGTCCGTCAGATGTGAAAGACTCAGTGATGTCAGACCTGGTGATATCTGTCAAATAAAAAACACGACGTTGAAAATGAAACGACTGTAAAATGGTTTCAGGGATTATTTTGTTTAGCTTTTTATTCATTTATTTATTATTATTATTTATTATTCTGCCTAGCTTTTTGCTATTTTCGTCTGTTTTGGCTCATTTGACCAACATTATTTATTTGTCCCCATCTTTTGTCAAACGTTGTAGGTTTTATTGTTACATTTTATTAATTTTTAAACACATTTGTTTTAAAAAAAATAAAGTTCTTGCTCAATGTTTACGTCTTTAGTTTAGCCTTCAGCCTCTTCTGATCAGAATTATCGATATTTCCGCTCACGTGCTCTGACATGCTAACTGTGGCTAAAGCAGTTTACATTCTCAGGGGTGTCCTTGTTCCTCCAAACATCTTTGTACGGCCCTGTCTCTGCCGTCTTCTCTCCACTGGGACGAGAAGAAGGAGTAACAGTAGTGTTCTCCTGAAGGAGGAGGAGGTGGGGGAGGAGGTGGGGGAGGTTAGAGAGGCCGTGAATAAGAGGCTCCAGACCGCGGACTTTCTCTGAACACTGAATCACACACGCTCCACTGGAGACGAGTACGGCGTCTTGGCCCCGCCCCCTGGACGAGGCACGGAGCGTCCATCCTCATGCGTGATCCTCATCACAAACCACGGATGGAGTAGCAGCAGCAGCAGCAGCAGCGACGGCGGAGAAGAAGAAGAAGAAGAAGAAGAAGAAGAAACCTCGGCTCCGACCGTCTTCTCTCTGAGGTTTTTAACTCCTTCCATGGATTCGTCTTTTCTGTCGGATCCTGCCCGGAGTCAGAGCGGTGAGTGTGTGTGTGTGTGTGTGTGATGAGCGTCGTCAGTAGCACCGTGTGTGTGTGTATGTGTGTGTTTGTCCATTGTCTCTCGCCGGAGGCGAAGTTCCGATCGTCATCAAGTCGTAATTCCGAACAGATTTTCGAGGATTCTTCGCGTCCGAGACCGTGAAACGTCACCTTTTATCGATTTGAAATCGGGCGTTCGCGGCTGTTTTAACCGTCGCATTAATCGACGTCGGTATTTTACTCAAGACACCTGTCTTCACTAGCAACAGTGACCGCCCTCCTGACGCACGTTTCACCACGTTTCTGGACGCGGCCCGGTTCAACGAGCCTCGGAGGAAATCAATCACGTTCTCCCTCTGATGTGTTTCCACCCAGGCTCCGTGAACGCGGCTCCGCTTCACTTCAACAAACAATTTTTCTCACCCCCCCAACCCCCCAC